CCCCAACATTATGAGACTTAGTATGTGCTTGGTGAAGTGGGGCTTCCTTGCATTTATCAAAAAAAAAAACCCTCAAATTTTCAAAGAGTGTTACCTTGTCCTGAAATTTGGTTTCCATCACTCAGAATGATTTTATAGATTTCAAGCCTGCCTTTACTATCATTCTTGTCATCTTCATTCTGGTTGACTGCCGGAGACAACAGTTCAGATAGTTATTTTAAAGTTTAATTTTCATTCCTAGCTTTGAATTTTCTGGCTGCAAAGTTATTGGAAGCATAAAACTGTGAGGTACATTAAGCGCCTAAGTCTCTGCAGTCAAGTAAATTTGTGTGGTGTGGAATTATAAGGGCTGTTTTTTCTCAAAGAAAGTCCTGGATGAATTCTTATAAACCCACTTAAGTCCTTGTTTACAGTTGCAAAAAAATTAGGTCCTGCACCATAAATAAGTGGACTGTGTATTGAAACTACCTAAGATATAATTGTATTCTTTCTTCTTCATGAATCTAAACTTATGTTAGAATAGCAATGAAATATGAGGCACTTAAAGCTGACTGTTAATACCACTTCTCGCATACTGTTTTAAATAAATAAATGTTCATTTGCTAAGTGGATAGCCTACTTCATCAACAAAGGATGCAACATGGATAGCAAAAGTCATTAGCATAATACAAATGCTTGCAAAAGGACTTTGGAATGCCTAAACTAAAAAAGTACACTACCAAGGACTTGGAAAGAATTTCAAGTTCCAAGGCCAAAGAATCTACTGCATATTAATCTTCTTTATCAAGAAGTTGATTTGGAGTGTGAAAGACAAGAATAAGCTTATTGTGCAATAACAAAAAAATATATATTTATCTTGGGATTCTGCATGGCATGGTAGAAAGATGCTACATTGGGGAGCAAGGGATTCTGAAGGTTCTAATTTGGTCACCAATTAGCTTTGAGATATTTGGCCAGGCATCGGAGTCCTAAGACTATCCATGTTCCTGTTTGTAAGCGGAGGTCCTGAGGCATGTTTTTCCAGTTTTTTCCTCTGACAAACAGAATCTCAGAGAGGTTTTATGACCTAACCGAGGTAGCAGAATCCAGAAAGAGTTTAAACTTTTACAAATTTATAACTGGAGTTATGTCCCCTAAGGGCATTGAATTCTTTCAAGTGAAAGATGCAATCAGCGACTGTCATCTTTGAAGAGGACAGCGTAAACGTGCACTTACTTGAAGCCCAAAGTATGATTGTTAAAAAGTCCTACGTCCAATTAGAAAACTAGCTATTGTTCTCAGCTTTCACTACCCCATCGACAAACTATACAATTCTAAAAGTTTTGCTTTAAGCATCTTCCTGAGATTAACATTATTATTATAGAGGGCAGGGCGGGGTCAGAGAACAACGGACTGTCTGCACTTAAGATGAGAAATCCACTGGGTATGAAGAGAATCATTTCCCTCAATGTTTCCTGACACATATTTTGAATTTTTTTCTTGGTTCCTACTGTCACTGTTAGAATACAAGTGCATTCCTCTCTACACACGTTCTGCAGTGTCATCATGCCTTCAGAGCATGTGCTGGAAGACGAGTTCTCATGAGATGTCAGGGGCTGATGTAGTAAGGCTACAATGAGATGGTGGGCCAGGGAGTTTAGCATCCCTTGGCAAATCCTGACTCTACAGAGAACACTGCAAGATTCATGCATAGCCATGCAATTCCTGGGAATTAACACTAGGGCCTACAAAATTAACCCAGACATATTTGCATATTACTTGGATTCATTTAATCTACTGTATACCTAGGTAACACATTGCAGTTATCTATGGCTTTAAAGTACTAACCTATTACTCACCTACAACACATATGTTCAATAAAAACCTTAGCTTAAAAATGTAAGTGCATATTTGTGCTGTGAGGAAAAACTTGAAAACTACACATATCTGGAGTATGAAGTTCTAGTGTTCCAAAAATTTTTTAAACTATATGATCATAGATTAAGAGGACAAATATACCTATGTTTAAAAATCCATCATAATGAACCATTTTAAAGTATACAACAATTTACAAGAACTTCAGAGCTATATAGGTTTGAGAAAAAAATCAGTTCAAAGATACACTACTACAATTGAATACAGAAGTCATATAAAACTTTAGTACTGTGTTTTCTAACATTCTATTAATAACCGTTACACTTTATTAATAATTTTATCATTTTTTTCCTGCTTTTACCCTCTTTTTTTTCTCCTCAACAAATCAAATGTTTAAATGTGGTAGAAGATGTAGCCCTTATTTTTGTCTCTCAGGCAAGATGTTATTAGGGGTCACTTCCCATGTTCAGAGAAAATGATCTTCATGGATAATAATGATAAAACCTTATGGAATGCAAAAACAACCAAAATATGTATTCTCAGATGACTACATTAGGGCCAAGTCAGTATCAGTCCCACTTCACCCACGCACCACACAGTCTAAAAAACGCTGTCAGCCTGATAAGAATTTCCTGGTTTGGTCTTTTTTTCCAATAGAAAATATAGGTCATCAAAATAAACTCCTGACAGTAAAGGAACAATCGTTATACTAGCAAGTCTCTTTTTCATTTGTTAGCCAATTATAGGCAAATAGTTTCTTTACTTGACTAAAAATAAAATAAAATAAAATAATCTTGAACAAACCATTTTGGTAAAAGCAACATACAAATTTGCAAGCACATCTCTCAACTAACTTATTTAGGTCAACTCCACCACACATCTATTCAAACAAAATCTACAGAATTCCAAGGTACAGAGAAGATGTCCATTATTTACTAACATGTGCCTCTTGCCAATGTTGACAAGTCAGGCAACGGAGAGAGCTCATTCTTCCGTTTATTGATGGTCTTAGCAAAAGAATGAGATTTTGGGATGGAGTCTAAGGGCTATTGCAAATGTTAGGTAAAGGACTGGAGTTGTTTTTTACTGAAAGCTAAATGCTGTGGCTTGTAATTTATAATGTTTCTGATATTAAATTTTATACTCTAGCCCAAAGAAGTATTATAGTTCTAACACCGGTCACAGATCCTTCATATTTTAATGGAATTATTTTCACAACTCTAGAAAATAAAACCTTATCCACATCTACTAGCTTAAGGTATTTTTTAGGAGGAAAAATACCTTGCTGAATGTTCAGTAAAGTTTGAGTCTGTTGCACATCCACATTCCAACTGATAATTGAGGGCCTCTACTGTCTCTGCGATGGAAGCAAGGAGAGGAGGAAAGGGTGTGTCAACTGGGACAGTGTTTATTAAACACAGAAACTGATACCCAGCACCTCTTTGCCTCACTCCCTAACTTGTTCTAAATAGTTTTCTTCATTATTTATATATTTTATATTTAAAGCCAAAAAAAGACAAACAGCATAACCAAAATGTTTCACTCTGTCACCCTTGACCACAAATTACAAAATGTTTTCCCATCCTCCTCCCTAAAAGTAATCTTTTCTGAGATGCTGAACTTGCTGCATATTAAATAATAAAAATGATAACAAGAAAACGGTGTTCCTTCCTTGTTGGTCTTAGTCGGTCCTTGCTAACCTCACTGTGTGGCAGAAAAATCTGAGGCATGCACCCTTTCCGAGTCAGATGAATTTCACAGTCCCTTAATTCTAAACAGAAGTTATGATTTCTTCCCAAAGAGTAGCACCACAAATCTAGCAAAGAGACAGAGGAAAAGAAAAATATAGAAATTAAAAGGCCAGATTAACTAAGGAGCCAACATTTTAAGACTACCATAAAACATAGTTCTAGAAAAACTTAAAACAGATCAGTAAATTCAGTAGATTATAATTTTCTAACCTTTTCTAGTTCCCTCATAAGTGTGTTTTTTAAGTCTCACCAAATCAACCCACTCTAATCCCTAGGGTCTGAGGACCCTGCTTTGGTATAACCGGGAGCCAGCACTCACATGTGTCCTGCGCAGCACTAACTAAGCCTTGGCACACTGTGCTGGTGTCCGGAGAGAAGTAGCCAGGGGTACTGAGTGCCAACTTCCCCAGAATCGGACTCTCTCTTCTGAAGAACTATATCATCTCCCTGGGTCCTGAATCCCTTTCATTAACAGCATTCTCAGTCACTCTTGACATGGGAGAGAACCCTGATCCAAGGCCACCTCTTGGCCAGAAGAGGACACACACACACACACACACACACACACACACACACACACACACACTACTTCCAACAGGCTGAACTCTAACACCTCAATCCTTTGGTGGAATGCAGGATGAATGCGGGTGGGGTGAGGGCACAGGGGTAGACTATATGGTGACAAGAGACTAGCCTTGGGTGGTGAGCACACAAAGCAATATACAGAGGATGTATCAAAGAATTGTACAGCTGAGACATTTAACTTTAAGAAATCATAGTTGCCCAAATAAATTTAATCTTATAAAAAAAAAAAAAAAGTGAATGAGGAACTTGGGGATTAATCCCTGTCCCCTATAGTGGTAGTCATAAGAAGACACACTCTGCAAAGAAGTTATGGTAGCGTTTGATAGACATTACCGTTTTCTACCTTAAAAACCCCCATTCCCTGAGCTCCCGGTCCAGGTAAGGCAAGTCCCCTAAGTCAGGGACACATTTCATCCCCTCAATCAAGAAAACCCTGAAACACTCCTCCACCTTTCCAAAAGAAACAAAATATTTGGTTGAAGGGAAGTTTACTCACATACTCCTAGGACAGATGCCTTTGGTGAGCTCCAGAGAACTGAGCCCTAGGCGCTAGGCTGGCTAGGAGGGGCGCCTCTGAGTGCCGGCGACCACACTCCCGGAGCCCCCGGCCAGGTAGAGCCTCCCTCCCAGCCCCGCCGCCCGCCCGCCCCGCCGCGCTCCCCGTCCGCAGCCTCGCCTCCTCCCTCCCGAGCCATGTCTGCCCCGGGCGCTCCCGTCGGTCCCGGAGCATCCTCCGCGCCACGGGCCCCACGCTCCGGGCGCCCCCGGCCCCCGCCCCGCCCCCGGCCGGCTGCCTGGCCCATGACTCACCTGCTGGCCAGGTTGGGGCGACGGGTGGTAGCAGGCTGTGGGGCAGGTTGCGGCTGCCACTGGGTTGGGCAGACACTGGGGCGCTCCATACGGCTGGGGGTGATACATCACCTCCGCACAACTCATGGCAGCCGGGGCAGCGGCGGTCCCTGAGCTGCCGCCGCCGCCACCGCCGCCGCCGATCGGGGCGCTCGCTCCGCGGGCGCAGCCGCCGCCGCCTCTGTCGCTGCTCCAGCTGCAGCTGCTGCTGCGGCGGCGGCGCAGGCGGGTCCCCCGCGGCCGAGGGCTCCGTGCGGGGCGCGGGCTGGGCAGGGCTGGGCGGTGAGCGGGAGCCCGTGCGCGGGCACCTTCATCTTCAGCCCCCGCGCAGGTCCCCTCGCCCGCGCTCACACAGCGGCCCGGGCACCCAGCGGGGGCATGGCAGCGCGGGTCCGGGAGGGCAGCGGCTCCCAGGCAGCGCCCGCTGCAGCCCTTAGCCCGGGCGGCGCGGCTCCGGTTTGCAGACACGCGATGTGCGGGGGCCGGCTGCCCTGTCCCTGCCCTCCGGGCTGGGGGGCAGGGGTGGAGAGAGTGGGGGTGCTGGGGCGGGGGGAGCGCTCGTCCTCCCTGGACTGGGGCGCTGAGCGCCTGAAAAGTTCCTCCAACTCTGTCCGCGGGCGGGTCACTGGCGGGGGGACCTCGGAAGGGCCGGCTGCGGATTGGAGCGGAGTTTGCAGCCTCTCCGCCTCCGGGCCCCGGGACGGGGTGGGAGGGGAATGGCATGCAGAGGCTCCGCGCCCTCGGAGCTCCGCGGTTCCCACCCCGTCTCCGTCCCAGCCACCTGGCTGCCGGCGAGGTCTGCCCTCCCCAAGGAGCTTTCTCCTGGAGCCAGAGGGAGAGGCCAGGGCCTGAGGGAAGCTGAGAGCGCAGAGGAAAAGCAGAGCGGGCTCAAAGGAAACCGGGATATCCCCTCCATTCACTATAACCATAAGTGAAAGTTAACTTTATTACAAGTGCGCGCATGCCAGGAATGAAACACAGTGCTCAACAAGCAATCTCCGCTCTACGTTTGCACCTTGGTGGTATGCCATTCTTGGCGGATGGCAACCCTTTCTGGCTTGTCCAGCCTGGTTTCCATAGAGCAATGTGGAGTAACAATCTATGTTACTCATTCAGCTACTCTTAAAGGGTTTATCTATGGGCGAGTGACTTACAGCCTTCCCTAAAAGGAAAAAGAAAATCTGTTGTAGAAATTGCTATACAATCAGATAAAGCAGAAAATAATTATTTACTTTATAAATAAGTAAACTCTACCCCTGAACTTTAACAGAAAGATCCCGGCCCCCGCCCTACGCCCCCCCCCCAAGCCCCCATCCATAGGTATCATGTTTTGACATAGCAAGTTCTTTTGTTTCCACAGAGACTATCCTTTGTCAGAGAAAGCCCTTCTGGATGTCAAGTGTACTGAACTGTGGACTGAACTGTGGCCCACCCCCAAATCCATAAATTGAAGCCCTAAGCCCCATGTGACTAGTTAGAAACAGGGCCAATAAGGAGGAAATTAAGGTTCATCTAGAGTCATCTTCCTGTTCCACGGGTATGGGACGAGTTTGGTGGGGGTACGCGTTGCACCGGAGTTTGGTGGGGATATGCACTGCACCATGCTTAGCTGCGCGCCTAATTCTACGTTCTCATGAGTACAGGGGTACTCAGCGTTACGAAAATTATAGAAGGGGTACACATATATCAAAAGTTTGGGATACACTGAATTCTAGACCATGGGGTGGGGTCCTAACCTAGGACTGGTGACCTTAGAAGAAAAACACACCCCTTATCTTTCTCTGTGCTGACAGGGGAAGGGTCTTGTGAGGACTCAGTGAGAAGGCACAGGTTACCAGCCAGGAAGAGTGGTCTCACCAACAAGTAATCCTGAGAGCATCTTGATCTTGGACTTTTAGTCTCCAAAACTGTGAGAGTATAAGTTTCTGTTGTTTAAGCCTCCTAGTCTTGGTATTCAAGATGGCCATCATGTCAGATGTCAGACTAGTGCAGATATATAGCACCAATATATATTATTAATTTTATATAGGTGCGTATGTATAACAACACAGACACATACATTCATATACAGTTACACATACACAAACTCATAGACTTAAACAAACTATAAAAATTGTATAGGAACTTTTAGCTTCTCATACAGCTCTCATTCACTCACCCATTCTTTCATTCGTCGAATGTTAAAAATATGTTAAGGGCTTAAACAGTTTGGGCTAAAATGTGTTCTTTGTAGTGGAGCAATTTTCCTATCAATTAGTTGTATAAGAATTTTCCCTGCCCAGTGTGGCTCAGTTGGTTGAGTGTCATCCCATACACCAAAAGGTCACCAGTTTGATCCCCTGTCAGGACACTTGCCCAAGTTGCACCTTTAATGGGAGGCAACTGATTTGTGTATTTCTCTCACATCGATCTTTCTCTCTATATCCCTTTTCCTTCCTCTCTCTCTAAAATCAATGAAAGCATATAAAAAGATATACAAGAATTTCTTTAAATGTTTATTACTGCCTTTTCTCAAATTGACATTCCCTGTTCACACCCTTTTCCTATATTCCTGATTAATCTCTTCAGCTTTATGTCTGGATGGCTATCCATAGATATTCCATAGGAACCTCAGTCATGGCAGCACTAGTAGTTTCTCCACTCCCACAGAGTGACCCTCTTCTTCATTCTGCTCCTCAGGTATTGAACTCCCACTCACCAATTGCTAAGCTAGAATTCTGGGAGTTAATCAATACTCCTCCCTTTTTTAAAGTCCACTTGATCCCAACTTTGTTATTTCAACTGATTCTCTCTCCTCAACGTTCTTTATTTTATTTTATTTTATTTATTTTATTTTATTGTTTAAAGTATTACAAATAGTAGTATATAAGTCTCTTCCCCCAACCCCTCCATTGGCCTTCCCCCAGCCTCCTCTACCACCTGGTGCATGCCCTCATCCCACTACCCACCCCCAGTGTCTTGTGACCATTGTTTGTGCTTATATGCATGCACACAAGTCCTTTGGTTGATCTATATCCCCCCTCCTCCCTAACACTCTCCAGCCTTCCTGCTGTAATTTGACCATCTGTTTGTTGCTTCACTGCCTCTGCATCTATCTTCTTATTCATCAAGTTATAATGTTCTTTATTTTCCATAAATGAGTGAGGTCATGTGGTAATTTTCTTTCATTGCCTGGATTATTTCACTTAGCATAATGCTCTCCAGTTCCAACTACGCTGCTGCAAATGGTAAGAATTCCTTCTCTTTTACAGCAGTGTAGTATTCCATTGTGTAGATGTACCATAGTTTTCTAATCCATTCATCTGCTAATGGGCATTTAGGCTGTTTCCAAATATTAGCTATGGTGAATTGTGCTGCTATGAACATAGGGGTGCATTTATCCTTTCTGACTGGTGTTACCAGTTTCTTAGGATATATTCCTAGAAGTGGGATTACTAGTTCAAATGAAAGTTCCATTTTTTAGTTTTTTGAGCAAACTCCATACTGTTTTCCAAGTACCTCACCAGTTTGCATTCCCATTAGCAGTGCACAAGGGTTCTTTTTAGTCCCTCCGCATCCCCTCCAGCTCTTATTTGTTGATTAGTTGATGATAGCCATTCTGACAGTTGTAAGATGGTACCACATTGTAGTTTTGATTTGCATCTTTCATATAATTAGTGACTTTGAGCATGTTTTCATGTTTCTTGGCTTTCCTTTGGTCTTCTTTCGAAAAGTACCTATTTAAGTCTATTGCCCAATGATTTATTGGATTGTTTATCTTCCTTTGTTAAGTTGTATGAGTTCCCTGTAAGTGTTGGAGATTAAACCCTTATCAGTGATGACATTGCAAATATGTTCTCCCATGCAGTGGGCTTTCTTGTTGTTTTGTTGATGATCTCTTTGGCTGTACAAAAGCTTTTTATTTTGATGTAGTCCCATTTGTTTATTTTCTCTTTATTTTCCATTGCCCTAGGTGCTGTATTAGTGAAGAAATTGCTTCAGCATATGTCTGAGATTTTGCTGCCTATGGATTCCTCTAGTATTTTTATGGTTTCCTGTCTTAAGTTTAAGTCCTTTATCCATTTTGAGTTTATTTTTGTGTACGGTGTAAGTTGGTGGTCTAGTTTCATTTTTTTGCATGTGTCTGCCCAATTTTCCCAACACCATTTATAAAAGAAACTGTCTTGACTCTATCGTCTATTCATGACTCCTTTGACAAATATTAATTGAGCATAGTGGTTTGGGTCATTTTCTGGGTTCTTTATTCTATTCTATTGGTCTATATATCTGTTCTTGTGCAAGTACCAGATGGTTTTGAGAACAGTGGCTTTGTAATATAGCTTGAAATCTGGTATTGAGATCCCACCTACTTTGTTTTTCTTTTTCAGGATTGCTGCAGCTATTATTTCACTTAGCATAATGCTCTCCAGTTCCATCCAAGCTTTTTTTTAATTATTATTATTGTTAGAGATGGATTTTTGAAGAGTTCTTTCTAGGTTTGTGAAATATGCCCTTGGTATTTTAATGAGGAGTGCATTGAATCTATAGATTGCTTTGTGTAATATGGATATTTTAATGATGTTGATTCTACCAATCCATGAACATGGTATGTTCTTTCATCTGTTTATGTCCTCCTCTATCTCTTTTTTCAGTGTCCTGTAGTTTTCTGCAAAAAGATCTTTTAACTTCTTAGTTAAGTTTATTCCTAGGTATTATAATAATTTTGGTGTGATAATAAATTAGATTTCTTTTTTTAGTCTCTCTTTCTGTAAGTTCACTATTGGTGTATAGAAATGCCATAGATTTCTTGGCATTAATTTTGTATCCTGCTACATTTATTAAGTCTAATAATTTTTATGGAGTCTTTAGGGTTTTTTATGTACAATATCATGTCATCTGTAAATAAGGACAGTTTTACTTATTCTTTTTCAATTTGGGTGCCTTTCATTTCTTCTTCTTGTCTAATCGCTATGGCTAATACTTCCAGTACTATGTTGAACAGGAGTGGTGAGAATGGGCATCCCTGCCTTATTCCTGTTCTTAGGGGAAATGGTTTTACTTTTTGCCCATTTAGTATGATGTTGGCTGTGGGTTTGTCATATATGGCTTTTATTATGTTGAGGTCTGGTCCTTCTATTCCCACCTTATTAAGAGTTTTATCAAGAAAAGTTGTTGTATTTTGTCAAATGCATTTTCTGCATCAATTGATATGACTGTGTGATTTTTATCTCTCATTTTTTATGTGATGTTTCACATATATTTATTTATGGATATTGAATCATACTTCTATTGCTGGGATAAATCCTACTTGGTCATGGTATATGATCTTTCTGATATACTACTGGATCCAATTTGCTAGGTTGTTGTTGAGGATTTTGGCATCTATGTTCATGAGGGATATTGGCCTGTAATTCTCTTTCATTGTGTTGTTTTATCTAGTTTTGGTATTAGAGTGATGCTGACTTCAAAGAATGAGCTTGGAAGTGTTCCTTCAACTTGGATTTTTTGGAATAGTCTGAAGAGGATAGGTTTTAGTTCTTCCTTGAATGTTCAGTAAAAATCCCCTGTGAAACCATCTAGCCCTGGGCTTTTGTTTGCTGGAAGCTTTTTGATGACTACTTCAATTTCTTCCATAGTTGTTAACCTATTAAGATTTTTAGATTTTTCCTTATTGAGTTTCAGAAGGTTGTCCTGTTTGTTGGAATAGAGTTGTTCATAGTAATTTT